TTGTTACGTGTGTCTAACACACGATTCAAACAACAGCAACTTGGAACATTGTCGTACCTAGAAGTTAACTGATCCAGGGAATTATTGCCGAAAAAATGAGAGAACTCTTTCCAAATGTTCACAAAATTGTTCCTGAACACATAGAATTCTATACTTCGTAAGTCCTCACTGTCTCTTAATATACTAACGTTCACAAACATTTCAATAATGTGTAAGAGCATGAAGAAAAATGTCAGAGTGATATGATTTGCTTCAATGCCCTTCCTCTCATTCATACATCAACCCCAGACCCTCTCATAAGTCCAAAACATCTCATTGCCTCCTCTTGAAATTCAATACATCATAAAATGAGCCCATCCAATCGGGCACCTGAAACTTTTCTCACAGCATCTATCCCGTTCAAGAAGTTAACTTTTTCCAGGTATAAATATGTTCTTTCTCCTGCTCCCTCATGCCCTCTACCCAGGGGCATTTTGTACCAGGTCCAGCGTATGTTAATTCCTTATTCCCTGAGGATCTGTGTGATCATGTTTATTCTCGTCCCCGTGATACTTGTCTCATCTTCTTCATAACTGGACCTAAGACACTGGCAAACAGGAAGGATGCTTCTCCCCAGAACTGAGCACAAGGCTCATAAACATGTTCGAATTTTTCCCAGGGAAAGTACTGCATGAAAACACAAACTAACCTGAAATCTCAAAGCCCTTGTGATTTCAGGATGCAAAAAAACCCCACTGAATCTTATATATAAATATATATATATATGTGTGTGTGTGTATATAATTTTTCTTTATTGATTTTAGAGAAAGAGGAAGGGAGATGGAGAGAGAGATGGAAACATCGATGAGAGAGAACATCGACTGGCTGCCTCCTGCACGCCCCCCACTGGGGATCAGGCCCACAACCTGGGCATGTGCCCTGACCAGGAATCGAACCAGCGACCTCTTGGTGCAGGGTCGACGATCAACCACGGAGCTACCCTGGCTGGGCAGCACTGAATCTTTTAAGAAAGAAATGAGTACGTGACAAATTTGTGAAAGAGGAATATGGCGTCTAATCTACACTTGTCATATTCAGTTCTAAAAATCAGATTTCCATGGTTTTTATATTGGATCCTCTTTCTTGATTCATTTTACGACAAGTTATGCTCATTCTGCCCACTGGTATATTTTTGTTTTTAGGTCTCAACCCTTTGCTTCCGTGACCTCACCAAAATCAATGGCGACGTGTCCGAGAATCTTTGGGGGAATCCATGAGACGGAGAGTTAGTCAGATTATAACATCCAAACGGGGGCTTTCAACTACCTGAAGGATCATCTGAGAAACTACAATCTATGAGAGAAAAACTCCGTCTGGAACATATCGGCTGCCGACAGCACGCTGATTCACGGAGACCTGCTGAGGACATGTTGGCTGTCCAGGAGCTGCGTTGCCCAAGCCAATCACAGACCAACGGCCAGGCTTTGATGGCCTCTGACCGCACCTGCCCTGCCTCAGGCCGTCTTTTACGTGCTGTGTAAGTTCAGCCCAAAAACCATAACTTCTGTTTATTTTCAGCGCCTTTGCCGAAGAGGAGACATTTTGGCCAGAAAACTGATCCGAGAGAAATCTTCCAGAAGCACACGGCCTGGGATATTTCAGGCTCTTGGCAGATCTCAGAACGTCACCGCCTCTTACTAATAATCACAGTTGAGATCAAGTTCCTCTGAGGAGCCAGGACTTACTTGGGAGATAAAAGTCGAGCTCAGAGGTTTAACGTCTTCCAACAAACACTCTCATCATAACAGATATCTTTCCCAGACATCAAGGAACTTGAGCTAGTAGACGTGTCATTGACTCGAGAGACCTTGAAATGTACGGCCAATGTTCTCCGGAGAACAGAACTGAGAAGGTTGTGTCGTAATACATGTGAAAAACACATTTAGCAGCAATTTTACGCTATAGACTTGTTGCAATCTACAACGATTTAGACCACAGTCAAGACATCTATCTTATGTTGCCTATGCAGACATAAAATGGGAGGGTGTACACTCTAAGGTCATTGTTATTAGAACATATAAGCACTTCAGGAGTATAATTATGGAAGGAATTTCAAAATCACTGGGTGACTGAGGAAGTAGCGCTGAGTTGACATAGATGAAAACACACTCCCTTCGTGGTCAAATTGAGATATAACATCATGCATGTCGTTAGATAGCACCATGGCCTGTCGACCCCTGTCATGTTTAAGAGAACTTTTCAAGGAGAGATAAAGCAAAAAGGCCCTTTGTCAGCCCAGTTTAGCAATATGATGGGAGGGTCAGGCACAGACACCTGGATACGAAACACAGGACAAAAATCAGCAAAGCAGCAGCAAAGAAATGCTGGACTGTGGAGTGTTGTTCTGTCAAAGTTAGTGCTCGAGTAAGGGGAGGGGTGAATGTAAGTGAAACATAAAAAGGGACCAGAGGCCCTGGACGGTTTGGCTCAGCGGTTAGAGCATCAGCCTGCAGACCAGGAGACCCGGTTCGGTTCCCGCGAAGGCACGAACCTCGGTTGCAGTTTGTCCGCGGCCCCAGTTGGGGTCGTGGGGGTGGCGACCAGTCCATGTGTCTCTCACTGTGGATGTTTCCCTGTCTCCCTCCGGCTCCATCTGAAGATAAATGCAAAAGTGTCCTTGCGGGAGGATAAGAAAGAAAAAAAGGGACCAGAGAACACAGACTTCTGAGCTCACAGGGAGAGCTTGGCAAGAGACACCAAACACAGCTTTTCTCTCCGTAATCACAAGGCGTCTGCACAAAGTCCGCTAGTGAAACGAAGGCAGTAGTAGTCAGAGCAGGGCCTCAGAACAGTGGGAGACTTTTTGCATGGCGTCAATTTTGTTATAATCTGCTCTGCCATCGCCTGCCCCAAGGCAGGATATCTCTGCATTCTGCATTTCTTTATCTCTGCATTTTGCATTTCTTTAAGTAACCATTTACTCATCAGCCAGTCTTTACTGACCTTTTGTTCCTTTGTAGTATTTCCTAGATTTGCTTCGGGCAAGCCTGGTGCTTGGCAACAGGTGCTTCTTGCCCTATATATTGTGTGGATTTCCCCTGAATAAAGGAGACTTGATCAGAATCCTGTCTTGTCTCCATTTCTCGTGTCTCTTGTCCCTCCTCATCCTCACTCCCCCTCTAGAGTCCTCGTTGCTCGACCTGCAGGACGGGTCACAGAACCGTGCTTTTCAAACCTGTTCACGTTGCAGCACACACAGACTAACACCTAAAATTCTGAGACACACCAAAACGTATATATTTTACTGACCTGACCAAAAAAAGGTATCCTTAATATTGATTTACCAAAAAAATTAATAATAATAATAATAATAATAGTAATAGTAATTACCTACCCTTTTTGCGCCAAAGTGACTTTTTAAAAAATCAGGTGACTACACTTGTAAATAAGGTTACCTGGAACCAAGAATTAACCAACCAGACACAACCTTATTGTGTGACGGGGCCAATGAGATGCAGCTCTACGATGTGACCTATCTATTCGGGGTTCAAGGGCGTTCCCACCAGACAGCTATCGTGATGTTGGCTGTTGTCGTTGTTTTCTTTGGCCGTTGAAGGGAACAGAGGTCAGTGCCCGACTAACTGGCCGAGTACTGTGTGTCGTGGAAGTACCGCGGCGTACCCTGGCTGGGGTCGCTGCTTTAGAAGCATCTAACGTCTCCTGCGGGTCCATCATTCGCAGAGAGAGAGATCTGCGCATCGTCAGAGAGCAGGCGTTGCTAGAGATGTAATAACACACGTTGAGTGAGATTTCACTTCAAAGGACGCGTTTGGAGCTACTGCAGGACATTCAGTGTCTTTCCAGCTCGTCGAGGAGACTCGATACGGGGAACGAATGAATTTCACCCGAAAGGAAGGGGTCAAATGGGCTATTTCGATGCAGGACAGCGGCCCAGGGAAGGCTGGACAGACAAACAGACCCCCTATTCATTTCCATCTGTGATTTCCCTGCTTCCTTAGTGAAAAACAGGGGGAAACACAACCACATTGTGTGCCACTGTGGTTTATTTTCTCCTGATGAAATCAAGAGGTGGCGTGCAATTTTGGCATCCACAAATCTGACATTAAGTTTACAGTCATAGTTTACTTATTTGCTAGTGAACTTTTCTAAAAATGTCTCAATTTAAGACAATCCTCTGGAGTTTGCTAAAGAACTTCATCAAGATTTTTTAAATTTTAATTTAGATATTTGTTTCTGGGTGATTTTTTTTCTTTTAATTTAATTAATTAATTTTTGTTACAGATGTTTCTCTTTTTTTCCCCCATTGACCCTCCTCCCATCCCCCCTGCCCCGAACCAACATTGTTGCCTGTGTCCATTGGTTGTGCTTAAATGCATAAGTTTCTCTCTTCCCTCCTTCCCACCCCTCTTCTGAGGTTTGTCAGTCTGAACCCTACTTCTGTGTCTCTGGGTCTATTTTCTTCACCACCTTATTTTGTTCATCATGTTCCACAGATAAGTGAGATCATGCGATACTTGGCTTTCTCTGACTGGCGTATTTTGCTCAGTGTAACACTCAACATTTGATGACACAATTCGCTTTTGCAGTAAGGGGCAGACTCTTCAAACATGCAGCTTACACAGAAAAATACAAAACAGCAAGGACATTCAGCCCACGACTGCAGAAGGTCAGACTAGAAGGCGAGGGGCAACACCCACCTGTGCACAACAGTCCCAAACAACAATCCAGGCCCAGCATTGCCTAGAAATGTCTCCAAGGTCAAGAAAGCCAACACAGGTTACACTGTTACGCTTCAGTTCTCACAAAGGTTGATTTGCCCCAAAGGTAAGAATTGCACGTGGTCGTGGCAGGGACTGTTGAAAGATATGAACTGTGTGCGTAACAGTTTTCTGTCGCCATAGTTCTTACTTCTGTGCTTCTACTGACACTTGAGGGAAGGTGAACACCCACAGAAACCTCCTGCAAGTAAAATTCATTAAAAAGCGTGATTTCGCACATACCTGTTTCTCTCCGCTGGGCTTTTTGTGGTTCAACAACAGCTCAACAGCTCCAACAACTTCCTTCCGGATTGCATGCAACAGAGCATCACCCACGTAGACGTTAAAGCTTAAGAGGAGTTCGATGAGCTCCAAGTTCTCATTTTCAATCGCGATGAGCAGAGCAGTTCTTCCCAGAGGATCGATGCAGTTAATGTTGATTTTAAAATAAATTTCAGCCTCCTGGAGCGATTTCTTGACACTTGCATAATCGCCCTTTTCCACAGCATTTAAGTAGGCTTTCTCGGACGGCGAGAGTTCTGATTCTGCACGAACTATCCTTAGAGGGATGCGGTCTCTGTAGGGGGCGTTGACGCTCCTTTTGTAATAGAACTGAGCCATGTTCACGCCATGCTATGTCTTCTCGTCTCTGGAAGTGCAAAGAAACCCCCCCAAACAAGGATTAGTGTCAGCTCACGTTTTAATTATTCGGCATCACACTTAACTCACAATGACGTCGTGAACAACAAGGATGCTATTATTATTAAGTAATAATAGTGAAGTTTTTTTCCCCCTTAAACAATAGAAATGATTTCAGCAATTATTCAGTTATCTGCAAACACAACTTACAAAATTCTAATCTAAAAGGAATACAAAGAGGTTAGTACTTGCAAGTTATTTAAAACGTTACTTTGCAAGTGATGTTTGTCAAAAGATGCACCTACAGATTCTTGGAAATTATTTTAAAAATTTATCATAAGTATATATAATTTTTAGCAGAAAAATGTGAAAATCAGAGGCTGTGTTTTCAGGTTCCAAAACTGGGCCAGGGATATTCAAATATATCACTGCCAGTTCAGCTACTCATGGAGACTATGGGATGTCACCACCTTGGCAAAATGTTCATTTATTTTTTTGTCATGTAGTCTATTATTCATGTTAGTAAGTAGTGACATCAAAGTTTAAGTGAAATAATGACATCAATGTCAATAAAATTTTATACTGAGCCTAATAAGCATACTTTTACTCTTAGTTTTGTAAGTAAATACACTGAAAAGGAAAAAATGTGTACTAACTATATTAATGATCAAGATGTGTCCAGGCAACTCAATGTCGAAAGAAAAGATTTAGAAAAGGATATTATTATTAATTTTTAAATATTTTTTATTTACTGATTATAGGGAGAGGAAGGAGAAAGAGAGATAGAGACATTAATGAGAAAGGACATCAGTTGGTCGCCTCCTGCACACCCCCCACTGGGGATCAGCCCACAACCTGGGCATGTGCCCTGACCGGGAATCGAACCGGCGACCTCTTGGTGCAGGGTCGATGCTCAACCACTGAGCCACACTGGCCGGGGATTAAACACAGAGAGATTTATCATGAACGTGCTATTTTTTAAATTCTATTACATTTAGATCATGAAACAACACACCACCAGGCAAAGATATATTCATTGTAAAATGTATTGTTATTTGAAAGTGATAGTAGACATATAGTTGAAGATAAGGACATTATTTTAAATGAGTACAAGATCATCTTAAGATAGATTAATAAGAGAAAAATTGCTGCACGTTACATTGATTTTGTTCAACTTAGCGTCACACATTTATAGAAAAATGTATTGTGCTTTGACTCATTTTTATCATTGTCAGTTCTTGATTTCTCATTATCCGAACTGTTTTCTTGTTCTATGTCATTTATCACACGTCTGTTTACAAACACTTGCCATCTTACATCAATAGGAATGGAGCATTCTAGGCACCTAGACATGCATATTCACATTAAGTAACATTTTTAGACCAAATATTTTATGAGTAAATTACCTGGATGTGAATAACTCTTTAACTATAAGTTAAATGTAGTTTGCACGAACAAATGTGAAGCTGTAGAGTCGCTGGGACACCAGGTTAGCAAGGGATCCCAACTCTGCGACTTTACGCATTTGGTACATATGTTAGGAATTGTGTACAAATTGCTACTTCAATTTAATAGTAATTTCTGTTATCAAGCAGTTAGGTTTCATCCTTTGCTATCCAATTATTCAGCAGGATTTCTCAGACGCCCAGGTTCAGAAACTAACATGCAAAACTGTTATTTTATAATTTTACAATGTTCCTTTCTGGCGTATTAGAGTATTTTATTAAGGCGACTTCACAGACTAAGCTAAAAGAGGGAATTTAATCCCATAATCCTGAACATTTTTCTCAACAGTTTGATTGGTTTTGGTATTTTTTTTCTGAATATGACCAAAGTCATATTATGACACAGCAGGATATAAATTTATTTTTCCACTTGCATACGAGGAGCGCTGTGAGTTCTCTAAATCCCAATATTTTAGAGAAAAGTAAGTATCCGTTTTTATTTTTATTTATTCATTTTTGTGGTACGTGCCCCTAGCAGGAACCGAACCTGGGACTCTCTGGTCCACAGGCTGACGCTCAACCGCTGAACCAAACTGGCCAGAGCTAAATACCAGTTTTTAGAGAAAAATAAAGAGTAATGCTGGTGTTTAAATGTATTAATTTTTGATATGCAAATCGCTCGCTTTGCATTATAATTTTATTAGTTTTGGAGTTTCAATGAATCAAGATTATTATGATGTTCCATATCTTACTGTGATTGTCTGACCCTGAAGGCCTCATTCACCTGTTAGGGGTAACGCTGAAATGTTTGCCTTGGGGTGACAGCTGTCTCCCACGTCACCACCTGCCTCTGGCCACCCATGTCCGCATCCATCCGATGTGTGAGATGAAAGCTTTGCCTTTCATTTTCCCTGAGTTATCAGGACTTGATATACCTGCTCAAAGCAACAAAATTGGCCTTCATATTGCGTCAGCAGAAAACATTCTTCTCCGCTACCCGACTGTCCGTGCCCACTGCTCTTGGGAAAATGCAGGGATTTGCCATTGTTAGGGTCGCATTTGAGGTTTCCTACCAACCATGGATCGGTGAACACAGAAGCTACTGAGGGCTGAGGAGAGTGGAGGGGATGGATAATGATAAATTAGGCTTATTAAAACCTATTTAAGCCCTGGCTGGTTTGGCTCAGCAGTTAGAGCGTCGGCCTGCGGTCCAGAGAGACCCGGGTTCGGTTCCCGCTAAGGGCACGTACCTCGGGTGTAGTTTGTCCCCAGCCCTGGTTGGGTCGTGTGGGTGGCAACCACTCGATGAGTCCCTTTCACATCGATGTTTCTCTCTCTCTCTCTCCCTCCCCCTACCACTCTATCTGAACAAAATATCGAAAAATGTCCTCCGGTGAGGTTAAAAAAATCTATTTAGTTCAACCCACATAACTGCCACACACGCAAGTTACAAAAGTAACATTTTAAAAGCTGATACAAGACTGTTAAGATGTGAACTGGGTGTGAGACATTACTTTGATACTGTGTATCCATCCAAAAAGTGAGGTAAACAACACCCACAAAGGTGCGAGGTAAGAACCAAAGAGTTTGTGCTAAGAAGGGTCTTTTATTCACTCTAAGGCCCTCTTCCAATTTAGTGCATTTGAAAAACATAAGAACTCACGTTGGAAAGACTAGACGGCTTTGAAATATACGTAAAATTTAAATACATGAGATAAATAAAATTTAAATAGTGACATTGGAACACTAAAACAAGGGTGGGGAGCAGGAGACTGAGGGCAAACATCCTTAAGAGAGTAAGGAAGATTTCTTTTTTCCTTTTCCTTTTATGACCAGTCTTTATGATATAATTTTGAGTAAATGTCATAGAATGGAAAAGGGAACGCATGGTTGTTTTCTATTGTAAAAGTAAAGTATTTTCTTTTTTAATTAATTTATTTAGTTTTGTTACAGATGTTTCTCCTTATATTTTCGATTTAGAAAACATGCCGAGGAAAGTAAGAAGCAGAATGGAACTCTTCCGTAGCATCACCGCTCGTTAAACTCTAGTGAATTCCACCCACTGGGAAGGTTGTTTTACAGTTTGTAGATCCGTCTACCTGGATGGCTTGAGAAGCTGAAATACGTCTAACAGAGCAAAGACCCGGTTTGACCTTGAGCTGTGACAGTCAAGGGCCGCAGTGAGTCAGGTGTGGGCACAGCGCCGGCTCCAGGCCCTGCACCCCTGCACCTCAGGACGCGCCCCCCGCGGGAAAGGTGTTCATTGCCAGGACCGTCCACAGCGAACGCCCTTCCTCACCGCCCCGTTACGGATCCCAGAAGTGACATGGCTGCTTCATCATCAGGTTCACTGTCATCGCGTCAGAGGGGGCACGGGATGTGGTGGCCAAAAAGAATTATGTACATTTTTTTTCATTCACCTGAAATGGATCTTCCCTGAACGTGCCGTAGAAACTAAACCAACATGGTGACCGGCGCTCACCCTGACATCTCCCCAAGAGTAATTTTAGCGAGAACCACACTGACCTGGTTCACAGGCAGGGGCTCTCGGACTTCTGACCAGTGGGCTTCGGGTTTTTTGACTTCGCAGTGGGGCGTCCAGGGGAACCCCCCGCCCCATGGGATGCTCTCTCGTGGGGCCAGGGAGCGACGTGAGCCCAGGGCCCACCTGGCCACTCCACCCGGGCACGCAACCAACACTCTGAGGGTACTGTGCTCACTTTTTAAAAAAAATTTTTTTTCTTCTTTATTGATTTTAGAGAGGGAGGAAGGGAAAGGGAGAGAGAGGAACATCGACGAGAGAGAACATCGACTGGCCGCCTCCTGCACGCCCCCCACTGGGGATCAGGCCCACAACCTGGGCTTGTGCCCTGACCGGGAATCGAACCAGCGACCCCTTGGTGCAGGGTCGACGCTCAGCCACTGAGCCACACCGGCCGGGCGTACTGTGATTTTCTTTATTCTGCAGCTTTAACTTCACCCCCTGTGCTCTAGGAGGGTGTCTGTCTCCAACACAGATGCATTTCTTTCTTAAGGTCCATCATATCCTGCTTGTTGCCAGACACATCTTGGCGCTTTTCGGGCCTTATAACCCTCAACATTTCAGCTCCTCCAGAGACCGAGCTCTGAAATGAAACTTGTCTCATCTTCGGCTCTAAGACCCTCCCTGGCAACGCTCTTCTTACCTCCCTCTCAGCGTGTCCCCGGGCCCCGTTCTCCCAGCAAAGCTACAGTGTTGTCACTGCGGGCCGCTGCTCCGGCTCCGTTCCCCTGCGTGCTTCCCACTCGTTATTCTCATCCTTCTCGTACTCAGATGCTCCGTGGGACCCACACGTATGTTTTACAATATACCGTATGTTTCAGACACGCTCTGAAGTCCGTGTGGCAGACGATGCCTTCTTGCAGCTGGAGGCCTGTGCTGCCCAAGTCGGCGGCCATCGGTCACAGGGGACCACTGGCTGTCAGACCCACGTCACAGGATGTGAAGACTCACCTGTAGGTCTCGTTGGCCTCATTGAACCGCCCAGTGCACCCCTT